TGCCAATGACCGTCGCTGCCCAGTCCTGAGGAGGACTGCACGGAGGCAGGGGATAACCTTACCGGGGCTACTCCCGGAGGACCCGAAAAGGATCCCCCAGAGTCGCCCAAAAACCATCACCATCCAGAAAGACGGGTGGGCCACCATCACGGGGAAGGGCAGACAACCAGCCCCCCCCCCCCACCCGTACCACACAAGGAAACGGTGGAACCCACAGAAGAAAGGGCAACCACCGGGGGCGACCCTACAACCTCCCGCCAATCCTGCCACAGAACGGCAGCCCTCCAAGAAGAGGAGGCGGGAGAGAAGCCGAAAGAAGTCACAGCCTCCTCGGGCTGTTACCTCTACCCCGACACCAGGACCAATAGCGCCTCAGGCGCAGGTTATAAAGGAGACCACCCAAAAGGGCGTGAGTAGAGTGCAGGAGAGGGCTCCACCGGAGGAGAGAGCCCGAGCTACACACAGAGCGCGCTCTACTCATAAACAAGAAGTCCAACGCCCGAGACCAGTACCAACGCCTTCAGATAGGAGACCACCGACGGCCGGCCTCGAAACAGCTGATGCAATCCAGCGCTTAGTTGGGATTGCCATCGAGGTCGGCACGCAAGTCCTGGCCGACATCAGAGCCGGGACGGATCCAATAACAGCGATCATGAAGGCGCTGGCAAACCTCCTGGCCAGACATTATGGAGGATAATAACCTGCGCCTAATGTACTGGAACCCGGACGGAATTCAGCAGAAGCTGCAGGAACTCCGCACTGTCGCCCAGCAACAGGACATACACATTATACTGCTGGGCGAAACAATATTGAACCCCAAAACGCGCATAAAGCTGCCTAACTTCCACATCTACAGAAGGGACGAGGTCACTTCTCGAGGGGCCGCCTATAGAGGGACGGCGGTTCTAGTGAGGAGGGACATCGTCCACCAAGAGCTGGATCTACCATCCTTCCAGACTATGCGCTCAATCGGCATAAGAATGGAGGCGGCGGGCGAGGAACTAAGAATATACGCAGCATACCGCCCGCCAGGGACTCCATTCTGCTCCTCAGACATCCGGACGGTAATGGAGGGCGATACTCCTGTAATCATCGCCGGGGACCTGAACGCCAAACACCCGGCGTGGGGGTCCAGAGTGATCACCCCGCCGGGTCGTGAACTATATGAAGATGCTGAGAAGAACCAGTATGACGTTCTAGGTCCCGAGGAGCCAACTCACGTTCCTACCGACCCAAGGAGGCACCCGGATGTATTAGACATCGTGCTCACTAGGAACGTCAACTATCCGATAGTGGTAGAAGTGCTGTACGACCTCCCTTCACAGCACCTCCCGTTACTGATAACCCTTGGCTTAAAGGCGGTGACTACGCCGCCTAGAGCTTTAAAACCCGTGTCGACTGGAGGCTCTACTGTCAACATCTTCAGGAGAGACCTCCAGCACACCAACCTATATGCACAGCGGACGACGTAGAGGCCGCTGCAACTAGAATCACCAATAACATCAAGGAAGCCCTCCACGCGGCTTCTACGGTCGTCCCGATTACAGCAAGGCGAGACGATCTGCCGCGTGAGATATGCGTGCAGATCAAGCGCAAACGAGCGCTGAGAAAGCTCTGGGCGCGTACTCGCTGCCCCAGGATCAAAACGCAGCTGAACACCTTAACGGAGGAACTGTCGGTTTCAGTCCAGGCCTTCAGAGGCGAAGCCTGGGATCGGCGCATCGAGAAGGCGGAAGAGAGAGATGTGTCGCTTTATAGACTAAACCGACAGTTGACCAAATCCAGACCTCCCGTTTGCCCGCTGACTGATAATACGGGCAAACGATGCTACGATGCCAAGGGCAGAGCGGATATCCTAGTCGAGCACTTCGAGGAGCAATTTATGCCGAACACAGCAAGTGCGGAGTTCATGGAGCTTCATGCCCGGAAGGAAAGTCGCGTACAGGAGTTCCTGTCGTCGCCCGCGCCACCTCTTGCAGGAGACTGGTTCATCTCCCCCCGCAGAACTGCGGAGGACAGTAACCTGCCTGCAACCGAGGAAGGCGCCGGGGCACGACGGGATTACCAACGCTGCACTCCGACAGTTGCCCAATAGAGTCATAGTAGAGCTTGGTCGACTCTACAATGGGATATTGCGGACATCCCACTTCCCGGAGGACTGGAAGAAAGGCAAAATCATCGTCTTGCCGAAACCCGGGAAGGACAGGCGTAGAGCTGCCAACTACAGGCCGATCACGCTATTACCACATATAGCTAAACTGTTCGAAAGATTGCTGCTAAGACGTCTCCGTCCGTGCATCCAACTTCGGGCGGAACAGCACGGATTCAGGAGGGGTCACTCCACAGTCACACAACTGACTAGAGTGCTGCACCTGCTTGCGGCAGAGTACAATCGTGGCCGCATATCGTTGGGCGTCTTTCTCGATATCGAGAAGGCGTTCGACCGGGTGTGGCACACAGGATTATTATATAAACTGGAACAACAGACCAGTGTCCCTCCTGCTATATTGCGGCTAATAGCGTCTTTCCTGGAAGACAGGAAGTTCTACGTCTGCGTAGAGGACGCCGAATCCGCAACAAGATCCATCAAAGCCGGCGTCCCACAGGGCAGCTGTTTGTCTCCAGTCCTGTACGCGGCTTACACCAACGATATACCTACACTGGCAGGCAGGCTTCAAGAGTGGGAGGACGACGTCGAGCTGGCGCTATTCGCGGACGATAGCGCCTATTTCACCTCGTCCAGAAGAGCCCACATAGCCACTGCCAAGATGCAGCGTCTGCTGGACCTGCTGCCACCATGGCTGGATGAGTGGAGGATGGTCGTCAACGTTGGTAAGACGACCGCTCTGCTCACTCGTCGTCTCAGGAATTTACCACCTCCGCTGACCCTCAACGGCCAGGAGATTGCGTACCAGAAGGCTGTAACTTACCTTGGGTGTAGGATCGACAGGACGCTGCGCATGACCGCGCACGTCGACTTCGTCGTCCGCCGGGCCCGATGTGCGCGGGCGACGCTCTTGCCGGTCCTGGCATCCAAGCTGCCTCTAAGAACCAAGCTCCGGATATACAAGATGTATATCCGGACCATTATCACCTACGCTGCACCGGCCTGGTACGCACTTCTGAGCGACCCTCTGAGGCGGCGACTACAGGCCCAGCAGAATCTGACACTAAGGACGATCGTCGGAGCAGGTCGCTACGTCCGGAACGACGTGATAGCGGCGGATTTGAAGATCGAGAACATCATCGACTTCGTGGCCCGTTTAGCACGCGGCATGTTTGACCGTGCCGATAACGGGCCACATGAACATCTCAACGGCTTTGCGCCGTTGCATACCCGGCCACCGGACGGGCGACCTCTTCCAAGAGAACTCCTCTCTATATGTGATTAGAGAGTTGAGTAACAACCCACAATGCCGCAGATAGGCCAACCCAGACTCAACCAGATAACCACCTTTTTCCGTAGTTGGTTAACTACGGAAACAATACATCACCTAATACGGAACAAACCCGGTATGCTATTAGCCTAGAATAGGCAATAAGGACTGTCCCATAATAATGGGACATGAGGACACCCGGGTAATGGGGGTCACCCCGAGGCCCGATACCTGTATTGCATCTCGGTGCAATCAGACGACATTCAACGAGGGAATAGAGAGTGCCCTGTGCTTGCGTATACACTTGGGCACTATAATCCTGTCCTGCGCCGATGGCTAGCCTCCGTTGAGGCAGGCCACCGTGGCCGAAATTCGGTTTGGAGGACTTTATTATTATTATTATTATTTGGGGTATCTATATAGTTATCTCATCTGGTTGGGTTATATAAATATATAATTATAAATTAAAATGAAACTATAAATATACATAAATATCAATAAAATAAAATAAATACAAAATTATTATTATTATTAATCTATGGGAGCGGCCCATGTTCAGTAGTGAACTTTTATAGGCTGTAATGGAATGTCTTAAATTCATAGTAAGTAGGCCACCTAAGTTCAACCCGCGCGCACAAAAATAAATTATAATTTAAGTGCTGAACTGCCCCACATTGCGGAGAACTTGCATGTCTGAAAATTAAAATATTTCTAGGACATGTGAAATCCATCAACACGCTCTTGAATAGTAACAATGTAGTAACTACTTCTTAATCCTCTCTAAATTAAAGCAGACCATTGCCTAGATCGCTGCTAGCGTTAGGTAGCTAAGATAATGTTGGGTTCGGGGCAGTTATTTAGGGTGTGTTCCAAAATATTTCCAGTATACTGGCAAATGCAAATGACGTCATTAATTGATGCCGTATTCCACCACATTCGATACAACGAATCACCAATATGGCGTCGATTTATGACGTCATCTGCATTTTCCAGTGTACTGGGTTGCATTTCGGAACATACCCGTAGTTTCTGTATTTTGAGACGATAAAGACCAAACGATTTCAAGATATATTAACAGATGGCGCTGAAATAAGATATAATTTTTTTTCTTTCTTACCGTCTATAGTATACAAGTCTGCTTTTAAACGAGCTTTCTCGTGAAGAAGTATATCATGTTGTTTTGTACTGGAGTTTCTCCCACTATAAGGAAAATTTGCAGAAATTGCCAACGATTAAACGACTCATACATTTGATGTTAGCTATATATATATATATATATATATATATATATATATATATATATATATATATATATATATATATATATATATATATATATATATATATATATATATATATATATATATATATATATAGTTACAGGTATTATAATTGTTAAATAATGTAAAACTACATTGAAAAATGGAATATTTGTAAGAATATTGCGTAGGTAATCTTTATTCTCTATCTCGTTATACAAGGGCGACAAATGAGCTCACGGTCCACGAACTCGTTATACACGATTCAATTGACAATGGATAGCCGCATACATCGTTATGTAGTATTTAGACTGTCAATTTTGCGCTGCAATGACATCACCAATCTAGTAGGTCACTGTTAAACATGAATGAGCAAAAGGAGATTCTTGCGGAATATATTAAAAATATCACCTTCTATTACGAAAATGACCAAAACCCACAAATCTGGTATCCAATGTTCTATCAAGGCATGTTTAAAGAAAAAGACCCTAATGGGTGGATTAAGGAAAACAATGTAATTTTTTTGAAGGACACACCAAACAATATTTTGTATAACAGATGGTTTCTCTCTGAATATGGCGCTATAACCGCCTTAGAGTATTCATCGAATGGAAATTATATTATTGTTGGTCATTCATCCGGACTCATTCAGGTTTGTTTCCAGTAGTTTCTGTTATTTTGATTGATTTTAGTACGTCCTTGGGATAGTAAATATCCTTGTAATATGGCGGTAACTAAGAAGTCAGGTACGGGTATCGATGTTAGTGAACAAAACGAGTAACGCAATCCAAACTCCGCTCCGGTGGGTGTTATTAGTTGTTAGACTGTGATATATTTTAGAATTTGGTGTTTGAGAATACCAATTATTTTTATAAAAATGATGTGATAAACCAACTTAAGTCCACCTGATGATAAAGTGTTATTCAGCCCATGGACACCTGCAGTGAACCTTAAACAAAGAAGACTACAGATGTGCTGTCACCTCTGAGGACGAAATTCTTCACACCCTGTAATTACACTGGCTCTCTATAACTTTTAGACCAGAATACTGCAGTGCAAGCACTGATATTTGACGGCATAAATCCCTAAGAGGATATTATTTACCCCAACAATCCTATCAGCTAGTATACTATAATTTTAATACCTATTTGCTATTTGGTATGCAATCTCAATGTCATCACCCTAGAGTTAATTCTTTGATAAGGCGATACCCCGATCAAAACCTTGCGATAGTGCGTTTTTCAGAGACTATTATCTCATCGGTTATAAGAAATAAACTACATCTAAAAGACATTATTAATGTTCGATATCCTATCATCACGTTACACGTTTTAATTTGGTTTTATGTGTTATAAATGCATTTAATATCAACTTTTAAAAAATAACTAAAATTATTGATTACATGCATCAGTTGCTAAAGGCAACGCTCTAATCATTTGAGGATTACACTAATGGATAGATAATTTAAAAATCTATATTATTGACGTTTTATTTAATTTCTTAAGTTCTCTTTTCTTTTTAATTGAAACAATTCCAAAAATTTGGGCGTTACGCGATATATTGTAGCGAGAGCGCGTGGATTGTATAGGACCGAACGCTCAAGGTCGTTCGCTAGGAGTAGCGCCTTAAGGAAAACTATTGTGTCACGCCTTTGGAAAATGCAATGCAAACATTATGTATAGCGTAGCACTTTATTCATTAACAAAACCTTTAAGGCCATTTTTAACCCCCGACGCAAACAGAGGAATGTTATATGTTTAACGTGTGTATCTGTTTGTCCGTCTGTGGCATCGTAGCTCACAAACGGATTAACCAATTTAGATTTACTTACCGTTTTGGTTTGAAAGGTGAAGGTCTTTTTGTTTCGGAGGTTATAATTTTTTCAATTAAAGTTATAAATTATATTTATCTAGATGCGACATGGCAGTACCGGGACAGTACTTTGTACGCTGCGCAATATTCAGTACCCACCTAAGCCAATATACGCCCTTGAATTCAGTTTACAAGAAGAGAGGGTCTGTTATGCGGCGTGTATGGATGGTGCTATATACCGAATTGAAATACCAAACGTAAGTGCCGGTTTTTTTTATCCTGAGCTAATAAATTGAAACATTAAGTACGTCTGCATTATTGCACAGCAAAAGATTGTGGGAACTGTCTAATATTGTAGCACATTAATAGTATTAAGACAACATTCTTCTAGGATTTTAGGAATAAATATTAAAAATATCAACAGTTTCCCATTGGTCCCATACCTACGATTTAACTGTTGAAAAATTAAGATGTGTTTTTTGTTCATTACGGTGCTATTATTTAGTTAAAAAATGAACGAGAGCTTAACAAAATCCACCTTATAATGTCCCCGTATCTTAGACCATGCAAGCACTCTAGATCCAGGGTATCCAGATGTGACTTAGATTGCATTTTATAGAATAAGATTGACAAAGGAGCACATAGTCCACTTGACGGTATATAGATACAATTGGCCTATATACATTTAAATCTGTCATCGATTAAGAATCAAAATACAGATGCGTTGTCACTCCTGAGGTCTTCGGTTCTCTACACTCACCATACGAAATACAGCAGAATTATTCTGTCGTTGTACGCTGGTATTCTCTAAGAGCGTGGTCCTATCCCAGCCAGTGTAGCTGGAATAGCTGCGGCATGGCTCCACCATGTTAAGAATTTAAATTTATTATAGGAAAATATACGAGCATGTGTTTCAACATTTTATTTCTGTAATCCTAATAATTCCTTTTAACAGAACTTTTTAGTTATGTAATTATTCAAATAAATCGGTCCAACCAACTTAACCCATTCGCTGTCCCGTGAATTAAATACATATAATGCATTGCTCTTGACTTAATATTGTGTCTGCAAACGAATTATCTTAGCTTTGAGAACGATTAAATATAAGAAGTGGTATATTTTGAACCGACATCAAAAGTGGAGGAGGTTCTCGATTCGACTGTATATTTTTATTTTTGTTACCTCATAACTTTCTTCTAGGTGAATTAAATTTGATGATTCTTATTTTATTACAAATCATGTGCTTCTTTTGTGGTTCCATATAAATTTGATCAAGATCTGAAAAGCAGCTTTTGAGTTATTTTTAATAATGCGTATTTAATTGACTTCGACTATATAAAATGTTCTCATTTTATTTATATTGAACTCGGTTGAATAAAATTTTTGATTGTTTACCACTTGTTGGACAAGAATAACTATTTTTACCGTTATTTAAATATTTTAAAATATAGATTTAGCATTCTGCGCTAGTGAAACCATGGTTAGATGAAAATTTTGTGGCTTATATCGTAAAATAGTTATTGTTTATTATCGCAGATTCAAGAAATATGGAATTTTTAAAAATATGAAAAATAGATTTAATTTTCATCACCATTCGGCATTCTCTACCAATTAACTACATATTAATTACATGCTTCGTAAAATAAAGGCGCCTTATAGTATGTATATTTTCCCAATTTTAAAATTTATGTGACTTCTAAAATCCGCTTAAACGACGTTGCTTGTTATTGCTGAACCCTTTGTGGTTTGGGAAATAACAAATGGCAGACGCTCACATGTGCCTAGCCGTGTTCTGAATTAAATTTCGAGGACAATTGAGGTCACAATGCTAACAAAGATATTACATTCCCGCCCTAATGTCTGTTTGTTATTACTGTCTTTTGGAGTAGGTGGAATAAAAATTATCTCATAAATTAACGTAATTAATTTCATGTAGCAACGTTGTATATTATAGATTATTTTAAAATATAAATAAAGACCGTAATAATCTCGTATTTTGCACCTAAGTTCATTCTGTATATATATATATATATATATATATATATATATATATATATATATATATATATATATATATACATTTTTGTAGATAAACGTGTCAACTGAAGATCCACCAGAATTCTGTATAAGGGCAGACCCAGCCCTCGAATCAATGAATACGCAGTTCTATGGAGCTCCTGGAATATCGTCATCGTCTACGCCATTTATCACGAGTACGTGTTTGAAGTTTATATAAGTTATGAGGATGGAGGGAGCTACTTAAGTTGGGAGTCAAGTAGTACCTATTTTTCAACTTACAATTTTTTTTAAAAAGTACTAAGTAACACTTGGAGAGACATGTTCTCCTATTTATCATTTTGATGGCGTCGGTACTGGGAAATGGACGAACGCTGGTCTCCTTGTTACCTTCCATCACTGATCATTATCAAACAAATGGTTACTTTGATGGATACAGGTCTCGCAAGTTGGAAGGGAGATATCATCCAGATCTTGTCATTTTTTGAAAACTATTTGCTCGTAAGTATATATCCAGAGCCAAGGTATTTATGCACAGCTTGTAAGGTTCTTGTGAAGTTGACATGGATTTGTTTAGTAGAAGTGTTTCTTATCCCGCTTATATTTTGGAAAATATTTTTATGTTAAAAATTTGCTGTACTGATGTTTTTCATATACATTCATTCATTATAGTTCATCAAAGTTCACTGTCACAAATATCTACACTCAGTATACGAAACACAGCAGTATTAAGCTGCTATTTTACACTGGTATTCTGTGGGAGCGTGGTTCTTCCTCGGTTGAGCAGACATTCATGCTACACCTCTATTATAGCTGTAGCGTGGTTCTACCATTAAGTAAGTAGATTGAGATGAGGATCGGTATCTACTTAGCGGGGTACATTAGTAGATACCTATATTCAGCAGCGGACTGCAACAATTTGATAATGATGAAGTTCTGATGGGGTTTTGAGGGTAGATAAATAAAAAATATTTTCTTTTTTAAGTTCATTTATTATACTTATAATTAATGAATTCTTAATATAACTTTATCTAAGAAGGGGGCAGGCCGGGTAATACCTACATGGCGTAGGCTTCCCCGTAGATTACTTCATAGTGGGAAATTTTTGCCATAGTTGCTACGCTTGGCAGCGGGTTGGTAACCGGAAGTTTTTTATTATTATTAACTTCTGTTTCAGTTTCTTTATGTTACTGGTTACGACATCCGTGGTGTGATACCAGGTAGTAGATTCTTTTCAGTATTCTCTTAAGTCGCTACAACACGGAGTAATTCTTACATGGGTTATTTTTATTGACTTTTTTGCTTTCCCTTAGTTAACAAGTGGGCAGTAATAAATCCGACGTAATTGTACTACTGTAATATTGCTTCTACATTTTATAGCAGCTAAGTGATGGCTTATATATTTTAACTAACTCGCTTTTTAAAAACTTGTTATAAATTTAAAAGAGAAATTGCAATTGAGTGTTTGTGTCAGGCAACAATGTGACTACTAATCTACGGTACAGTGCTAATATACACAAAATAAATACCTGCTTGAACATTTTGCTTTAGTTATTTGTAAAATCAATAAAATAACGCTCACTTTATGTTTACAATAAAAATGAGCTTTCTTCTCAGAAAGGTGCCCGGCGCTATCATTGGGAATTACCGCTGACCAGACGAAAATGGTCATTGGCTACGGCGACGCCTCCATTAAAGTGTACGACATGGAAACCCAAGAGGTTATTTGAATTATTATTACAGTGTGAAAATTCCGTTTTATGTCCTTACAACATCACACACAGGACTTGTTTACTTCGTGAGCTGAGTTTTCCAGAATTTATATTTGGTGTGTGTTAACGACCATGTGCTTTAGAGTCACTCCACTACATTACCAAAGTGTTACTATACTAAGATAGAGATACCACATATGTGGTAGAGCCACGCTACAGCTATATTATGGTGTTAGCACGTATGGGTCGCCTCGAGCAGGGTAGGACCACTCTCTTATATAATACCAGCGTAAGATAGCAGATTAATGCTGTTGTGTTTCGTATGGTGAATGTAGAGAACCGGAGACCCTTTTTACTAGAAAACTCCTTCTTAGTCCTCGGGGGTGATAACGTAACTGCATTTTGATTCTTAGTTGAGGATAAATGTCTATAGGCCACAGCATACACTTACCATCAGATGAGTTGTGTGCTCGTTTGTCACTATTGCTATGAGAGCCCGTCTGGGTTGTGTTTTAGTTTAAAGAATAAGAAGCCAGGTTCCTTTTATTTGTAACTGGAAATTTCACCTTCGTCCTTTGAGGGTGACAGGAAATTTTGATTCTTAATCGAGAATAGATTTAGGCATCCTACGGACCACAGCATCTACTAATCATCAGGTGGATGATATTCTCGTTTTGCTACCCAAAATTGCATAAAATAAGCTTTGAAGTATTCCACCTTAGTCTTCAGGGGTGACATTGCATCTGTGGTACTTTTTTTTGAAGCTAGTTACAGACTTACAGAAGTTCATTGACTGCAGTAACAGTTTACCATCAGTGGGACTGTTAGCCCATTTGTTACCATTTTATAATAAAACTATCGAACCGCACCGGCTTCGCACGGGTGATTTTTGAATCTCGATAACATGTGCATGTAATTATACATATAAACCTTCCTCTTGAATTATTCTATCTATTGATGACAATCGCAAAATCCGTTGCGTAGTTTAAAAGATCTAAGAGTACAGACGCGAAAAGCGACATTGTTTTATACTATGTAGAGATAATATGCACATGAAAAGATGTATAATTTATTTAATAATAGATTTATCGACGATTTCTTAAGAATTGCAATTATATCTGTAGTCAGTATGCATAGTTTAATTATGTATGTCAAAGAACCAAAACTTATAATCTTAAAATTTAATCACGTATAATAAATACAATTTATAAAATACATAAAAAAGAGGAAAGCTGTTAAATGTAATGTAATAAAATGAGTTTAATCTCATTTTATAGCGATATCATATCTACTTTATAGATCTTTGAGGATCCTTAAACCTTTATTAAGAGGTTCGCTGGTCAAGAATAATGTGAGAAGATATCTGATGATATTACACGGTCTTATCTAACTGTAGTTTGAGATTGAACTCGATTTAAAATAAAGTAAAAAGATATTTTCGGCCTATATATTGTAGCCGAATTCTAGTTATGTTATTCTCCATGTTTTTTAAATAATACAAAGGTGACAAACGAGCACACAGTTATCTTGATGGTAAGTAGATGTTGTGCCCTATAAACATCTACTTATATCCTCGATTAGGAATCAAAATGAAGATGCGTTGTCACCCCTGAAGACTAAGATGGAATGCCTCGTTTTCAGTAAAAGCGGTCTTTACGTAAATTTCAACTTCCATTTTCTTTTCTAGCCACTGAAAGTCCATCGCATGATTTAGGTCCCGAAGTAGGGGGAATTTGTCATAATCGTAGTGCTGGATTGGCAGAATGTCCATCGAAGAAAAAATCTTTTTGCGATTAGATACGGCGTAATCGGGATGGTTATACCGCCATCTATAAGATCTTCTGGTTAACCTGGTCTAGTAGTATTTTTCAATGTTGTCTATGGCGACACCACAGAACAAGATGGGGTGATTGATTCTCTTGCCCTACCACACGGCAAGTATAGTTTTAAGAATAATTTACTTAGTTATAAAAAAATACTCTAGGGACCTCAAAAAAGGGATGACCATTACGATAACTTTGAATTGCTGTAAATTATGTTTTCTTATGCAGTTAGATTTGACATATAAAGTGCAGAAGCTGCGAGTGCAGTTTATACCGAAGAAAATACAACGCTTGCATACCGGCCAGGTCTGTGCACTGCGCTGCCACGACCAGAAGGTCTACATGTTCGCTAGTGGAGCCTGGGATAGAACTTTGAGGGTAAAGAAGCTTTTGGTTACCAACTGTTTTATAGACAACTTGTATTTGTTTCTTTGCCTTTCTTATTTTTCAATGCTTATTTACCATTTTACCATTACAAACTACCAAAAGTCCACTTCTGAACAATATATTGCGTCACAGGGGTGATGTTTGGCATAGTTGCAATGGCTGGCAAGCGGGTTGGCAACTACAGTTTTGTTTTCTAACTGTCATTAAAAAGACGCCGCTGCCCATATCCTGATTTGTTTCCCTCTGTCGTCTTTTACGACACCAACGGAATAATATGCCCCCGCCACCCGGAGCCTTGAAATTTAATCTCGAGCAATGATGGAGCTCTTGATAAGTTAAGTTTTACATTCACATGCGTGCATATGTTTCCATAATTTTGTGCCATGTGTTTTCCACAGTTTTGTGTGCTGATTAAATGCCATTTTAATTCTTTAATTATTTTGTTTGTAAGTAATAATAATAAAAGTTATCATTTGCTAAAATATTATTAAAGTTACAGCGTGTATACGTCACACTGCTACGCGCAGACCTCCTCTCATCCCTAGTAGAGTTTCATGGCAAGGAAATGTCCGCGAGCTGCCTCAACGCGTGTCGTGTAACTTCAGGCGTCATCGAATATTTATTATAAGATATTATTGTTTTACTTGAAAGCTTAGCGAGTTAATTTTCAGAGTAAAATAATTTAAATAATATTAATGGGTACCGACAGTGCCGGATTAAGCAAGCGCTTGGCCCGTAGCAAATTATATCGATCCTTGATCTGCTATAGGTTTTTAAATATAAACTGGTAAAATCACAGAATACCAGCGTAAAACGGCAGCTTAATACTGCTGTGTTTCGTATGAGTGAGGAGATTCGGACACCCTTTTTTCTTGAAACGCATTCCATCTTAGTACACAGGGGTTACAACGCATCTGCGTTTTGATTCTTAATCGAGGATAAATGTAGGTGTCTGTGGGTCATAGCACCCACTTAGCATCACGTGGAATGTGTGCTCGTTTGTCACCCTTAAATTATTTGCGATCTATAGGTTATAATTTTGTTGGTGTTTTATATTACAGTAGTTTAATATAGGCCTTGTTAGACACTGGTTAGTACAAAAAGCCAGATGTGAGATTGTCCTGGTAATTTAGAATGATTTTGATATGAAACTTACAATTTAAAACTGACGATACTAACAAATAATTGTAAATATTTTTAGTACATATTTCACAGTTTATATTTATAACAAAGTATATTATATTTTCAGGAATATATTTTATTAATAGAGTTCTTAAATTATGGATATATTATAGTATAAGTATTTATTCATGTTTCTTTTATTACTTTTTAAACATCTACGAAGTAGCTTTTTTTAATTAATTTCATGTAATCATTTTAGAAACAATACTATCCGTATCAATTTCTCTAAGCAATAACAATCAGGGAAATAATTCTTGACTCATAGTGTTCCCTAAATTAATTTTTTATACGGTTCAATGTCGAAAACGAACGTTCACCACTGCAGTTATTTATCATAAGAGACAATAAATGCGCTAAGCAGTTTCTAAATTGTAGAAACATGAATTATCTATTATGAATTTATATTGAATTTCTGGAAATATACTGAGCAACTCGGCAAACTGCACTAATTCGTCGTCTATACTGTCCAAACAATTTGCATAAGCACTGACCATAATTGAAGTTTCTTTCAAAATCTCTTCGCCTGTAATATATTAATATGATAATGCGGTTCAAAAATTTCTGCGTTTGTGTGCCTCGTGCTTCGTGCTGGCGATTTTTGTCAAGCTTTTTTACGTTGCCAATTTGACGCAAATGGACCAACATTGTTTTGATGCTAACTTCTAAAGCTACTGGTAATTCAGCTATAAATTGAGTATCTATCTCACCTTATTAAAATGTTAAAAAACACCAGTTAAATTCTGGTATGCTTTCATGCTATCTAAAGCAGATAGCAAGTTATCAATAATGACAACAAACACATCATTTTCAAACTGTTTACCAGGTGTTACTGTTTCAAAAAATTTGAAGTTTTTAGCTGATATTTATGACAGCCTGTCAGGTTTTTAGCTTTTGCTTCAATGTCTGAAAATGTTTATCGCATTGTTTGGTCATATCCATATAATGATTTGTAAAGGGTGTATCCCGTATTAAGGTTTATATTAGGTGGCTAGCTGTACCCCGCGGTTTCACCCGTGTATATCAGTGGGCCGCGCGGAAACTTATTTTTTGACATAGACTCCCCTCCCACACCCCAGTGACACCCGCATCGCATGGTGCTGGCAGTGTACGCGATATAAGGATTTTTCGACGTTACTATTGAATATTTTAACATGGAAAAGTAGTTATTGTGAGATAACTATAATAGTTAGACATATGGTATTGCAAACTTTTATGTAGATATTGATGTCCTCCATAAAACTGTAGCATAAGGTTTTTTTGGTATTTTTTTCACACCTTGGGTTACATTAACGAAGTTTTCATACGGATCCCTAAATTTTTTGAAAACGTTCTATCGCCTATGTTCATCAGGAATAATGTAGGATTCTAATGGTGAAAGAATTTTTCAAATCGGTTCAGTAGTTTAAGAGCCTATTCAATTCAAACAAACAAACAAACTAACAAATCTTTCCTCTTTATAATATTATTAGATGATTCCAGCGACGCACTAGTCGCTTGCACGCATTCTGGCATGCCATACCACGTAATTGTAGTTATTTTCGTTGGCACGTTCGTCACGCATTTGATGTATTGCTTGCTTGATGCAATTAATTTGATCAATTTTTCACACGTTGTTTTAGATAAATATAAAATATGTACTTTTACATTATGGCCCGGTCCGGATGGTCCGGAAAAACAGAAACAGAAAATTCCACAGTTTGGTCGTGCGAAGCAGAAAATTCCGCGTAAATCCCACAGTAGTAGACCGCCAGCCATCGGGACAGTGAGGATGGAATTTCGAGTTCTGACGCAGTAAACGATATACGATGGTGGAATTCAGCAGCTGAAATTAATAAGCTGAAACTGGGGTGCCACGACTCAGAAATTAGAACAGTATTCTATATGAGGCCGAATCGGCACTTTGTAAAGCTGCAAGCGATAGTCCGGCATGGAATCCCGTCTCGACCTACTAGCAATCCTAGTTTTTTATACCAGTTTTGCATTCCCTTCCAAGTGCCTACGAAACTGTTCATCTCTCGAAATCTTATACGTGGTATATGGTGGTTCTACGCAATAAATATTTCCTAAAATTCAGATTTATAACACCATTTATTTTGCTTATATTTTTTAAGATTTGGGACATACGGTGCAAAGTTGGCTGTGTAATGACATTCGAAGGTGTCAACATTTGCTCCGACAGCGTTGACTTAAACGTAAGTAACCACAGATCAATTTTACGATATACAGCGGGAGAGGTCCGTAGCCTAGCAGTTAACGAAGTAAGTTATCTTTTGTAAGCTGATGAAAAGCAACGTAGTAAGTGAATGTCACAAGCAATAATTTTAAAATTTCGTGTTCACAAAAATATTTAGGGATAGTCCGTAAACCATTTACTGCATGCGGTCACACTTGGTAGACGGATTATTTCTTAGGCGTTGGCCACAATAGAACGACTGCGGAGAGCGGGGCGACCTGCGGATGTTGCAGGAGTGAACACTCTGCGCTTCGCCGCTGTAGTATGTGCCACGAAATAAGCACAGGTCATTGACGGTTTTTTGCTAATTTGACTGTTAATCATTAATGGTCAACAGGTTTAAAAAGCTGTTAAATAAAAAACAGGTTTTGAAACTTCAATTGTTAGCGTTAATCGTCAATTTAATATTTCAAGTTTCAACGTTTTCGATCAATAACAATTTTGTTGCAGATTAAGATAAAGATTATTGATTTGATAATAAGAAATTCGTATATAAAATTACTTTTATGTTTATTGAACTGGAATAACCATTTCTTCGTACTTTTTCCAGGCTTAGGACTGGCTGGGTATATACATTATTCATATTTTTTTGTGTTTTTTTCCTTTGTGCTATTTACAATTACATATCAAATCTCATAACTTGCAAAACGGCCTCCGTCTAAGTTTACATTTCAAAACAGCAGTTTCTCTATTTTGCAGGTAGTTAGTCTTGTTCTTCTTTGATTTACAATTAGCCCCGATTTGGAGAACGTTCTTTCGCATGGCTCTGATGTTGCTAGTTGTAGTATATTTTGGCTAAGTTTGGATAAAATATTGTGAGTTCTCCATCATTCCAAAGAATTATTCCAGTCACCAATATTTGTTCCTGGTAATATGTCGTCGATCAACTAGATGTCCACTTCTTTTATCGCTTTTGATAACGGAGTGCCTGTGGTGGGAAGTGCCCATATTATTTGATCAAAAATATTCTGTGGACTGAATTCATTCTAGTTCTTGTCAATTCATTTTGATTTGAAGTTTGGGGCAGTGTTGCAACTTCAATTTTGGATAATTCGGTGGCGACGAGCATTCTTACTTTATCTTTTGTTTTGACAGCTTCAGCGTGGTCTGCAAATTCCTGCATCTTAAATCAAGGGTCCAAGAAAGTACACAAACTAAATGTGCCACTTTGCTCTATCCCTGTGAATCTGTCCGATAAACCAGGTTTAAATAATGAAACTATATCGTGGACATTTGATATTAGATTTCCTTTTTCTCATATTTTCTTATAAGATACTATCAGGCAACGTGTCATTATTATAAGATAACACGCCGTAAAATATTTATGGCCACTCTTCGAATGGTTCCAACATCTGACATAGCTGTTCCATTTTTATTTTATTCCATTTTTCCGAAGTAATCGTCGGCAAGTCTATGTCTGCTAGCGTCTTAGTCTTTCTTTGCGAGCTTTTTTATGAGAGTTACAATTTGTTTTATATTGTCTATTTGTCTTTGGCAGAGTAAATTTGTGTTTCTACTTGCCACTGTCATAATGTCCAAGCTTTGTCACAAAACAATATTCACATAAAATTCCAACCAGTAAAACTTAAACTTAAAAAATAAACTACACTTAAAAACACTTGTCCTCGACCGAGTAATGCAAACAAAAGAATCGGAACGAATTTTAGCCTTGAACGAAGCTCACGGATTGTTTACACACACTAAATAAAAAATCTTAACAAATTAACTTTCTTTACTTGCTCACGCGCACGCACAAGACCGCGTCTGATGTGTTGACGCGGCGGTGTTCGGTAACCTCCGGAAGTGACGAATATTTCCGAATGAGACGAAATTCACAGAAATGAATAAAACAATATTGAAAAAAAAAATGCGTTGAGTGCGTTGACGTAAATTGAAAGCTAATATTTTCAATCTATTTTTTCATTAATGAATAACAGTTAACACATTGATGAATAAAAGCTGTTGAAAAAAACAGTTTATTGATTCAACGCCCACTTCTATGCCACGTTGAGGCGGCGGCGTTGATTTATATAACCCTAGATCAGTAATAACTGCGCCAAAGCGTTGCCACTGCACATATGGTCACAGCCATATGCCTAGCTAACGTGAGTTCATTGTTCAATGTGACGCCGACAGAGTTGAGCCGCGACAAAAATGGGTAAATGTGTAGTGAAAGAATGCTATTCAAGGTCACAAAAACGTAATAAATCAAGTGGCATCACTTTCAACACATAATTTTTAGTTCTTGTTTTCATATAAACGTAAAAAACCTCAAATAATTAAATAAAATTATCGAATATTGCCATTTAGGTTCAAAGTTGCCACTTTTCCGCATTTGTGATTATCCTACATTAATGGGAGACTATATAATTAATGAAGTAAGTTAATTTGTTACCTCTGATTTTAAATATTTTGGAAATTGTAATAAAAACTACGTTTTAACTTTCATACAAAATAATTAATTATTCTTATTTTAGTTTATTCATGAATTATATATTAAATATATTTTATTACCTATTTCATATTAATAATTTTATATTATTTATAATTTAATATAAATTTTATATTAATTATATTTTATTAGATACCTATTTTATATTGTTTGATTTATTAGAACCATAAAAATACGTTTTATTTCATCATTATGTTTACTTCTATTCATCTGATAAGCTTTGTATCCCTTTTTTTCTACGGGGACGTAATAAGGATTTTACACTAAAATATACTTTTTTTAATATAAAAACAATTAACTGCAGCTTAAAAAAAACTCATTTTTATTGCGTATTTTAGGTAAAATTTCATATAGTAAGCCACACCAACCCGCCATTGCATGTTTGTGTGTCTATCTTTATCTAATCTTACGACGACGATATTGTTTTCGCAACTTGTGTAAGTGAGATAGATATATGTTTACTTAAAATTGTTATTAGTTTCAAAGCTATGTCGTCGCGTTTGGATAGTGGTTACACTTTTTTCGACTCGCGGTAATGTGGTTTGCTCCTCTAGTGTTGTATAACTCAATGGGTATGACATGTGGTTTCTATCTGCTATTTTCACGTGGGCCAAAAATGAGATTTACTCAATTTGCACTTTCGTGTCTAGAAGGTAGTAGTTTTTTTTGCACAAGATATAATTCAAATAAAAAATATAATAATAATAATGTAGTAAAATTCATCTCGTATTGTTATTGTTCCGGCTCATGGTAAACGCAAGGCGCGTTGCGCTAGCGTGGACAAAAGCGGTCAATTGAGATCTATTTTTACCGACCTCAAAAAAGGAGGAGGTATACAATTCGACTGTATGTTTTTGAAGTGAAAACTTCTTTAGCGGCGTCGTACACTTTTTTTTGTAATGGGTAAAAAATGTTAAACTTGTGTCAGGACACGTGACCTGATCGAAAATGCGTAAGACGGACGGCGTAGGAGAGGAAGTATCCCCCTCTCTTTCTACGGCGCGGCGAAAATGTATGCCTGCGCCTGCTGTTTCGTTTAGGCGGCGCAGGGCGCTTGCGCGAATGTAATATAAATTGTCATGTTTGTGTACGATAGCGCAATAAATAAATATTGTATTCTACCACATAAACATAGTACTTTTATACTGATAATTAAAGCAATTCGTGCTAAATTATTCCCTAACCACTCCAAAATATCAAAAATGCACAACGTTAATATTCAAGTTTTTACTTCTACCGGCACTCCCGGAGCAACCCGTCGTTTTTCTTAATGTGTGTTACCTCAGAGCTCCTTCTAGGTGAACTGATTTTGATGATTTTTTATTTGAAAGCTGCTGCTTTTCGTGTGGTCCCATATAAATTTGACCTAGATCTAAACAGTAGTTTTTTGAGTTATCCTTAAATAATGCGTATTTAATTGACTTCAAATACATTGATTCTGTCGTTTTGAAGTCGGTTGTACAAAATTTTTAATTTTACCGCTTGTGAATCAGAAAGAACAAAGCCCAGGAGTGGTGGAACATTTACAAGGTAATACATCTGTTTTAGAGGGACCATTGCCTAGCAGGTAGCTGGCAACCAACCGAAGCTCTGACAGTATGGGACCTTGTAGCCAAGAAGAAACTTAATACTATACGAGTGCAAAATCGACGGCCTGATGTCGACGGCGAGTATATTTACGCTTGTCGATACTGGAGGTCAAAAGAGGTTAAATATTTTTAATTTATAGTCTTCTAACAATGTTTTTGTTACAAACTTTGGGTTTAATTATTTTACCTTCGGTAAACTAAAGTAATAAATATACAATATACATAATTACATAATAAATATACGTAAGAGGTTTAGGATAAGTAATATAGGTAAATGGTGAAGAAAAATTAATTTTAATTCTTTTTTAAATTCTGCCCTTTTTATCTTTTAAATTCAAGTAGCGTGTTACACTGTATTTAGTATACACTGACCTTAGAATAGATAAGCAATGCAAAAGATAAAGAGCATGGTGTACACGTATGTTAAAGCGAGAAAGATAGGCTAGACCATTCACATCCATGCTATCAGCCTGTATCGGCCTGGCGTTATTTGTGAACAACACAAATCCGCTTGTATTTGCATAATCTCAGGTTTTAAAGTGAAAATTAGTGCTTAATAGTAGTAATTTATTATGACTAGTGCGTAGTATCTAAATATAACTCACCTGAGAAAGAAATATTAATATATATAATACTTCTTATTATATAGAAATATAATAAGAAGAGATACATTAATTCCGTAGGCTCGGTTGAAAGTAGCAATGGGCGATTGTTGCAAAAAAAAAACGACTGAATCAAAAATTATGGTATTGCGTATTCGATTGACTATTAAGTAGGTTCTCACCATGATTACTCGAATAATAATTATTTTCCGTTATGTGACGATCCGAGCGCGTTTTTCTAAAACAGGTATGTTAACTAACAAAAGACGAAGAAATGACATTTTAAATAAAAGTTTTGACCTAATGTAAGAATAATCGTTAAAATTATAATTCTTATTTTGTTTTAGTGCTCAAAGTGTTCAATTTACATTTTAAGTGTCATAACCGACATTTCAATTCTTGCCAGACAAATTGTATTTAATGTAAATACTACGTATATTTTTATGTTTTCTATTGACGCCAATCGCATAACTAATAACTGCAGTCGTAACGTAAGTAGTGGCGCTACGTTGTACTATTATTTATTCTGTGGTGGCGCACAGACTTAGTACTGCACGAGCGCGCCGCGCCACGTATTGTAACTACTCGTACTTATTTAGTAGTATATAATAGGTGCGCTGCACTGCAAACACAGACTACAAATTAGTAGTTAAAAATGACACGGTAACGTGTCAGCCATTGTCCACCGCAACCCACTAGTCGATAATAATCGACTAACATGGATTGTTATGGAATTTTATCGACTAAACTGAATAACCCGCTAATTCGATTAGTTTTAGTAATAATCGCCCATCGCTGTTTTAGTACAACACACACAGCAATTTGTACTTAAATAGATAGGATTAATTAACACATTTTGTAATAATAATCATCTGAATGCAAAGCAATTGAATTTAAAATAATTACAAAATATGTGAAATTCTGCTAATTTTAAACTTAATTTTGTAGAGCTTTTATTATCGATATTAGATTTTATATTATCGACGTTAATATATCTTATCGAAGTGTCCTTAACATGCAAACGTACGCCGTACATGCAGCCTTATTCAACTTATAGTCAACCAAATCTAAGAAATACCTTTTGACGTTTCACATTAATCATTCCGCAATAACTTTGCACAAACGTACTCACCCGATTCAAAATAACCTTTTACGTAAATCCGAAGAATTATGAAGTTATCTATATTTCATTACAACGTGTATATTTTTTTATCACTAATTCAAATTCGAATCTTTCAAACAAAGCAAAATATTAAAAAAATAACCAGTATCAACTTTTTTACTTGACGTCGTTTCAATGATATATATCGCTGTGTACCTTACCGTAGTGTTTGGATGATTAAAATTAATTAATATGCGAATAATCGGCAAAAATATTCAAATAATCGGTAAAAATATTCGAATATTTGAATCATTAATTATTTAAATGTGTTATTTGTTTAATTAAATTTTTATTTTTAAAAATCCTTAAATTACAAGAATCATGAATAAAACAAGTTTATTTATTTTTTACTTTGTAAACGTGTATTTGTGTAGGCAAAAAACTCATATAGATACAAGACTGCGCTGAAAAAACCACTACGTAATTTCAATTTCTCGGCATTTCAGGAGCTTGTTGTGCGTAATTTTGTGTTTGTCTTCTTATTTTGTGACTCGGCTTTAACTTTTTTGGCTGTTTCTTCTACATTCGTTGAAGCATGTGCTCATGTCATGCAGGATGATTGGGCAAAAGCGGTAGAAAAACCAAAAAATTGATTATGGATAACTTTGAAAGAGACATTAATTTCGACTGCACTATTGACAATCAAATAATAATTAATCTAAACAATGACAGCTCAACTAGTTGTACTGAAAGTGATTGAATAAATTTATTTTTAATCTAGTTGCAATCTTAAATTTTTGTAATTTTGCATCTAAAAATAAGCTATAAAAACAAATACGAATAAACTGATAAATCTTGTTCTAAATTATCCGTTTCTAATTTATTCTGATATTATTCAAACCAAACTGTAAATGATTACCAACTCTAAATAATCGATTTTTTTAAGAATCGAATATTGTACGTTCCCATTTTTTGGTTGGCATGCTTGGTGCAATAAGTTTGACATCTGTCAAAATGCATTTCTTAGTTTTGGTTGACTATAGTAATATATATATTTTTAAATTTTAAAGTTCTGTAGCCAAATATTCTTCTAATCCTATGAAATTTTTTAAATAGAAGTGAAACGAGCACACAGTCCACATGATGGTAAGTTGATGTTGAGGCAGATTTACACAAAATATTGATTTCCGACAAAAATGGTCTAAAATAATAAATATAGAAGAATGGATTCGAAAAGGATATAATTTGAAGAAAAATGTTTTTCTCATAGAAGTGCTCACCGTGTAGTGGCGGTGTAAGAATATCTACTACCCCATATTATCCCGTGGATTCGTAAGAGGTGACAGAGGGAATCAAATCAGGAGATGGGCAGCAGTAGCTTCCTAATAATGACTAAAAATAAAAATAATTACTGCGGTGGCCAACCCGCTTCCCAAGCATGGCAACTATGGGGCAATTTATGGGGTAGGCCTATGTTCAGCAGTGGGCTATTACAGGCTGATAGGCTGTAACAGCAACATAGAAGTGCATTAAGAAAAAACTACAACACATCTTTGAGGAGAGCTACACAACACACACACACACACACACACACACACACACACACACACACACACACACACACAATATATATATATAAAGGGGTTTTTAGTTGAGGAGCACAAAATATATATATATATATATATATATATATATATATATATATATATATAGTTTTTTTAATATGGTAGGTATTTCATTGTTTCATTATACGGGTTATTCCGTTTATTCACCCTAATAATCGGAATTCACTTTTTGATTGTTGTTCCGTCTTTCCACTCCAAATATAATTCTATAGAATAATATGTTCATACATTTGTAGCATATTATTGATTAATTTTTAATAACCACAAACTCAGAAAAATCATATAAGGTATTGTATTTAAACCAAATTGAACTTTCTTGTTTTAAATAATATTAAATAATTCATAAATTCTGAAATATGTCCAGGAAATAAACAACACTAATTTCGTTATTGGGTAGACGTAATTTTATATCCTGTATAAATTGGTCTCTCAATAACACATTTTTAAATTTGTTAAGTACTGCACTATTTCTAATACTGTATTTATATAATTACAATATATTTATTTAAAAATATAAAAATAAACAAAAGACACCAGAAAAACTGTTTTCATTTCAGTTCAATCGCAAAGGCAAGTATGCTCTCATAGGCGGTAGCGGCACGAGCTGCTTAGAAGTGATTAACTTGCACAATCGGTACATTAGCTGCTCATACCCTGTTACTGGAACGATCCTGGCGATCACTAGTCACCAAGAACGAATAGCCTTTGGAGGCACTGCTCCTGTACTTAATATTGTCAGTTTCCACGATCCCAAACATGAGCAATATAATGTTGATGAAACTGAAATAGATGGTTCAACATGGACTCCTGCCGATGAGTTTCAGCTTTATTCATCAACAGATTTAGGAACATTTGAAAATTAGTTAAAAATTTATGTTATAATTATTCTCTTAACTTTATAGTGTAATTCTTGTTTTAGTAATAAAGTTCTTTAAAATTCCTATGTTTTTATTTGTGTATTATTACGCTTAATATTACGTACACTTAAGAGGAGCCGGCTTAACTTAGGTTTAGTTTTGAGCATAGACTAATGTAATCTTTTTCATGCTAATAAGCTTAAGTTTATATTATATGAAAATGTTAATTTCGACTTACTAACGACCGGTGACACGTAGTTTGAGCTATGAATGTATCGAATACACCTAAGTTTAAAAAAGTAGTGTATATTTTTCGTTTTTGTAAAGGCATATATTCAACAATACGCTTTTGAGAAACGTGGGGCTCCTTCAAACTGGAATCTTTCCCAACCATATTCTAAATGTTATTATGTCAAGAGAATAAGGAGAAGAATTAGAGAGCAGTTGGTGACAATTAGTGACTTAAGAAAAATTTTTTGTGACTTATTACTTCAGGAGATCTTGCCCCTTATTAGGGGGGATTCTAGCTTGAATTCAAGCTAACAGCCACTCCTTAGAAAGCATCATTATTGTCTGCATCGGAAATATGATTCCTATTTTGAGATTTAGTGACTAATTGGTGTCTTTCATATATTGAGATAAAAACATGTTGCTGTAAAAGAATCGGGGTTATTTATATGTCTTAGAAAGCATTTTACTAGATGGAGTGACGACCTGGTAAGATATGCAGGAAGTCGATGGATGCATGTGGCTCAGGACCGTGCTTTGTGGCATTACTTGGGGGAGGCCTATGTTCAGCAGTGGACTTGTAAAGGGCTGTAATGATGATGATGATGATGAGAAAGCATTTTGAAGTTTATGTATGTGTTTATGAAGATTATAAGAGTATATCACTGAATATGTCCAGAAAGTCTAAGTCTTTCGCTGTATCAAAATATAGTGACTTATTATAGTAGTAGTAGACTGTCAGTTTCACAAAATAACTATTTTCGGGGTTTTGTGTCGTTGTTTATAAGTAAAGCTAATATAATAAAATAAAATTTATTCAAATATTTATTTAAAATAATAGTTACCATCAATAGAATCAGGCGTTACTTTGCGGAAATCCATTATATTAAAGTTGGTAAGAATTACTTCGCTCATATTCGCTCAATAAAATATAATGATGTGTCTTACCAAGTTTGAAGAGCACCTCCGACCTCCCTCAATTGCGTGCACTAATCCCGTCACCACTAATCCCAGCATCACTACTCCCAACCCCACTAAACTAGTAAAGAGACACCATGAGCTGACCGCTCAGCCACCGCAGAGTCTACATCATCTGAGAATGCCTTGTGTAGATGCGAAACACGTGTCGTGTTATCGTCGATGGTGTGACTTTCTGTTCCCTCACTCTCATAGTGCGATGGGATGGTAAACTGACACGACAGAAGGGAGATCGGGGGGTGGGGGGTGGGGGGGGACTAACGGCTTTACGTACTTGAACAGGCACGGGGGTGTACATTCTACACAACGTTGAATGTACCACCTGGGAATCGTAGCCTATTTATATAATTTTTTATGCTAATATAGTGGGTAAATATAGAAGGCAATTAAAAAAAAGAAGGCAAAAATGGCAAGCAAAAACATTTTTTTTTGGATTTTATGTGCACTGCAAATAACCGTTTATCATTACTGTGGGATCACCCCTCGTATATGCTACAGTTAAAATGTCTGTTTTTTTTATTGGTGTATTTAAAAAATAGCGTTATAGCTTATGTCCTTCAAATAATTTTTAATTAATAAATATATATATATATATATATATATATATATATATATATATATATATATATATATGATATTATACTCACAAACGTACAACACAAGATATCGCAACCGTTAACTAACTTTAGTCGTTATCCGACAAATCCAGTATAATCCTTGTGCGTTATTTCATTGCAATTTACAATTACAGTTAATACTTATATGTCATTTCTCTTAACAACATTAATTTGTTATACTCTTACTTAGTCTAGAGTCATTTTCACATAGATTAAGATTATGCAGTTGATTACTTTTGTGAGTTAATGTGAAATTTACTTACATTATAGGGGAAAACACTATAATGTAACACTATATTTAAAAAAAATTATTTTATAGATATGTCATTGCAGTTACCAACAAGCTTACAATCCACATGATGGCGCATGTGAGCGCCGCAAACTTAATGCTAAGTCACTGCACCATAGAGCCGTCATAAGGTACGGACAGACGTGCTCATTACTAGCACGAACGCATGTTTTTATTGAGCAAGTGATCAATAATAGCACGCGTGTACACTCATTTCTAGTAATGGGTATGCTTATTTTGAGTGTGTTCAAAATTCAACCGACGTTTGATTTTCGAGCATGCTACCTGAGGCGCGGGTAGGAGGGGGCGTGCTCCGAGCGTGTATGAACAGGTTTGCTTACGATTTTTTCAATAATATGATTATTTTATCGAGTTCTCTACGGATAGCACTGTCACTATATCTTTGTACATCCATTTTGGTTGAGAGCTTGGTGCTAAATAGCACGTGTCTGAAGTTTGTTTTAAGCATGCTTATTTATGAGTACGCTTTAAGTGTGCTTATTGTTGGCAAATGTGAACAGTTACAGAGCATGCTAATATTAAGCAAGCTTATGAGCATGCTTTTTTTAAGCACGCCTGTCAGTACCAATACGAATATTAATACGGTATTTAGCGCTTTCTAAGAATATCGGAACCGCTTCGGCACCCGCAGAAATACATGGTATTTCTTATGCCGTCACTCTAACACCTTCTTTGCCTTAGTCACGTAAATTCAGTTAATAATGCCCTCCGAACTGAACTTCGGTCACAGCAGCCATTCTCAGCGGAGACCAGCCATCTGCGCAGGACAGGATTATAGTACCCTAGTGTATGCGCAAGCACAGGCACTCTCTTTCCCCTCACTCTTATAGTTCGTTAGGACGGCAATCCAACAACACCGCCAGCATCCTGACTTCGGACTGTCACTTTTTCTGGACAGAGAAATTTAATAACTGTTTTTTTGGCCTGTCGTGGAATTCGAACCCGGGACCTCGCTACCTCTACGTTGTAAAGGTTGTGTCCTTGCAAAGGTGTGATGGTACTTGACGCAGGGACAGCTACCTACACTATATAAAGCGCAAGTTCGGTCATGCTTGGAGTATTACTGCTATATGTGGGCTAGTGGTGCAAAATACCACCTAGTAGCTTAGGTCCCAATGGGAAGACGTGCCATATGGCTTTTTGGTGGTCCGGAATGTAGGCATGTGAAGAACATTAAAATTGACCACAGTTTCATTACAGTACCTATGTAAATTTCTTTAAATCTTAACAATCTATCATGATTTTCTACCTAGTGGTTCTCGCACATATCTGTAAGGATTTTCCATTGTATTTCAGGGAAGTTTTTTTCGATATTATCTTTTAAGCACTTGGTTCGTTTTGCCGAGGACTTGATAAAATTTCCAACCAATTTTATAATTCCAATAGTATTTCGAATAGGCTGAACCTGGCAAGAATGACCCAGAGCTAAATTCAATGAATGTGAGCTGCAATGAACGTATAAGGCTTCTGGATGTGACTCACGAATTACTGCCTGCACACCTTTAAAACTTCCTTTCATCGAAGAAGCTCCATCATATCCTTGTCCGACTAAATAACTCCCAAAGATTTTAATTCAGATAAAATTGCATTAGCTAAATATCTTTCTTTTGTATTCTCAACTGTTACAAAAGTTAAAAAATCTTCATGCTAGATAAACCCATTATCTTTTGGTTCGGCATATCTTAGACAAATGTACATCTGTTCTTGTAGTGAAACATCAGTAGTTTCGTTAACAATTATGCGAAATTGAAAAAAAAATTGCAGAATTTAATCCTTGCACAATTTTTTCTGGATTATTTCACCACAAATTGCAATAAGCTCATTTTGTATGATCAGGCTTAGGTAGGTAGCGTTCAACGTCATATTTTCTGTGTGCCTTATTAGATTTGAGTCTCCACATATTCTTCTCATCCGTAAGATAGCACGAAAGTTTCCATCATTTGTTTATGACTCAGCATCATTGATTTTTATTGGAGCTGAGTCAACGTACCTCTCAGTGCCAATTCCTGACGTCCACATATTTGTTTCAATAATCGTAATGAGCCGTTTCTGTTTTTAGCTATTTGCGCTAGGTATCCGCTAACAATCTGACTTATTATATTTGGTTAAGATTTATTAAACACCTTCATAAAATTATCAGCCAATAATACAGAAGATTTGTGGTACTGGCTTTCATTGTGATGTTTGAAATCGTGTACATCATCTTTTGATTTAGTGAGCAGCTGAGTAACTAAGGATTTCAACTGCTAATAAGAGCCTTTACCTGCGCAATCTCTGGCAAATAATACACAATATTTGCATAAAGCACCTTGTTGCCCAATACTCGTGTAAACCAACCACGATAACCGTTTAAACTATTGCAATTGCAATTTTAGCTTTATTTTATCGTCACTTACTGGAAATTTAAATGTCTTTTCTGGCATCTAAGGAGATTTCAACCATGTGTACTTTAAATCATCATCAATTTTGGTGTTTGATCCCGCACATTTAAAACCACCACATCTAAAACATGCTGAGAAACATCATTCACAGTCCTAGGAATGGCAGCAGAAGTACCATAACTACTTGTAGCAGTATCACAGTCGAAAACACTTGAACACTGATTTTCAGTAGAACCTTCACTACCTGTGCTAGGTATAGATTTTTTAAATAAATATTTAAATAATGTGTTTTTGGATCCTTTTTGCCATTTAAAATGTTGAACCGATCTGTAACAATTAAAAAAAAAACAGCCAAGTGTTAGTTCCATTTGTACACAAACACTTACTTCGATAAAGATTTAAATGAAAATGAATACAAGTAGGTAGTCTACTCTTAGGCATCAATTCTTTTTAATTTTATTTACAATAACTATAACACCACTTACTTCAATA